TTCCGGTCAAGGGCATGTACCTTGGTTGAGGGCACATCCCCAGTAGGGGGTGTACAAGAGGCAGCTGATCGATGTTTCTCTCTCATCTATGTTTCTAACTCTCTATCCCTCTCCCTTCCTCTCTGTAAAAAATCAGTAAAAAATAAATATATATACATATATATATTTTAAAGTGTACTGGTTAACATTTTGTTACTATGGCACAAGGCCACATGACCTCATTAGAAGCATTATCAACTTAAGTGGTCTCTCACATATAGCTGGGCTGTTATAGGATCTCTTCTCCATTGTTTTCCCCATACCACCTGCAGTCCCCACCTTTGGAGACCCCTATGTGGTTTGGAACACCTTGCAGCAACCCCCATTCCTCACCCCACCAGCCAGCCCAAGTCTCCGGTTTTTCACTTGCAAACAGGCGATGACCTGAAGTGGGGAAGGAAGAAAAAGGGGAAAGGGCAAAGCAGATAAACCCTATTCTGTAGCTACCACAGGACCCATGATCCTACTGATCTTGATCTTTCTCTTGAATCTTCAATTCTCATTTCCCACTGTAGCAATATAGTGATAAAAAAAAGTCATTATTAAAACCCTAAGAGAAGAAAATCTCATTTGCTATCACTATTCCTATGCCTTTAAATATTTGAAAACCACCTATCACAACATCTGCGGAACTGTGGGTCTAGCTTCTCATTGCCAATCTCCCCAAAGGCCTTACGCAACCACTCTGTCACGTCTCCTCCCTCTCCATTGCCAGCTTTCAACATGTGAATCATCAACAATGATTAGATGCTAGAGAAAGTCCTGTTCTCATTATCTAGCTATAGCTTTTCTTGTTCTGACTTCAGCTCAATACATTTTATTTCTATTTTTGTGTTATCTTTGGTATACATTGAGAATATTAAAATACGTCAAATATACTTACATTTCACTTAAGTTGCTATGACATATTTATAAAAACATGTTTCTATTTATTCTTTTCAATACAAACCACAGCAAGTAGATAATTAAATATATTTAAAGTTCAAGGAATGAAGTAAGAGTTTAACTCACTTTTACCTGTTTGAACTGAATCATGATGTCTTTAGAAAGTTCCATGTCTTTAAACATCCCTTCAAGTTTGCTGGTGAAAGCAGCTCCACATTCTATTTAAGATGTTTATACATTTATAATATTACAAAGTGGTTAAAAACAAGGAATTTAAAATTAAAAACATGATTGTAAAACAAAGTAATAGCATGAACTATGATCTGTAATTACTCATAAGAATAAAAAAATCCCCACCCTAAAGTGTATACCCCACTAATTGAGAATCAAACTCTTTAATCCTATAGTAGTAACCTTATCTCCTACTTAGAAATAAAATAAATGGGAAATTTTTTATACAAATAATAAGAACAAGAACAATCTTTTATTTTTTAAGAATCACAACAGCTCTGGACATGTTTGCAAAACTAGACTGGAAACCTCAAGAGCTTACTCAATTTACATTTTCATCATATGAACAGAGAATAATTGACAAAACAGTAAAAATTAAGCTAACAACCACCACCACACCCTCCCCCACCCCCCCGTAGAAGTCAAAGAAGAAAATGAACAGAAAGAATGACAAACATACCATGTTTAAGTTTGGAGAGCATTGATTTTTCAGCATCAACAGATGCACTCTTCCCAACTAGCAGGCGTTTGGCTAAATCTTTCTTATAGAAGGCCTCAAAAACATCCTTGCCTATTTTAAATAATAAAACACTCCAATTAAAAGTTCTGATAAAATTGCTTTGAAGTATTTAATAAATCACACTATTACTCCAAGTTATTTAAATTTATACATTTTATCCAAGTTCACTAAATGCAAGAAATATTAGAGGCAGACATTTGTATCAGATGTTTCAAAAGTTCCTTGTGCCCTGGCCAGTATTTCTCAGTGGTTAGAGCACTGGCCCATGCACTGAAGGGTCGCAGGTTCAGTTCTTAGCCAAGGGCTCAGGCTCATACCTGGACTGCAGGTTTAATCCCCAGCTTTGGTAGACATGTGCAGGAGGCAACCAATCGATGTCTATCTGTCTCTCTCTTCCTCCCTCCATCCCTTCCTTCTACTCTCTCTATATCAATGGAAAAAATACCTCAGGATGAGGATTAACAAAAATAAAGTTCCTTGCTACAAAGAATTAAGACTGCATTAACTTTTCTTTAGAAAAGTTTTAGTCACCCTAGCCAGTTTGGCTCAGTGGATAGAGTGCAAGCCTGCAGACTAAAGGGTCCCGGGTTCAATTCTGATCAAGGGCATGTACCTAGGCTTCAGGCTTGATCCCTTGGCCTTCATCAGTGTGCGTGTGAGAGGCAACCAATTGATGTGTCCCTCTCACATTGATGTTTTTCTCTGTCTCTCCCTGTCCCTTCCACTTTCTCTAAAAATCAATGGAAAACTATCCTTGGGTAAGGATTAAGAAAATAAATTAAAAATAAATTTAAAAAAAGAAAAGCTTTAGTCAACTAGTAGCCCTAGCATCAATACTCTAGAGCAGTGGTTCTCAACTGTCTGGCCCTTTAAATACAATTCCTCATGTTATGACCCAACCATAAAATTATTTTCGTTGCTACTTCATAACTGTAATGTTGCTACTGCTATGAATCGTAATGTAAATATCTGACATGCAGGATGGTCTTAGGCGACCCCTCTGAAAGGGTTGTTCCACCGCCAAAGGGGTCGTGACCCAAGGGTTGAGAACCACTGCTCTAGAGATTACAACAAGTAACAAAAATCAAGGCTACTAATAATGGAAAAGTCAAAACACAGGGCAATTAAATAATATTCCTCAAGCATCCCAATGAATTAAATGCAAGGAATGTAATCGAATTTTAAATATCCCAAATACAATTTTACATTAACTCCCAAATAATATTCCTTCCAGGTTGACTTTACTTGCTAATTTCTCTGTTGAGTGTTTTAAAAGAAAAATATTAAAATAAAAATAAACTTACCATAGATAAATCTAAATATGATCATAATTTTATCCAACATTTTTTCAAGTTCTTCATCTGTAGCTTCTTTGTTGCCAGCACGAAGCTTTGAATCTACATACTTAGCTAAAATGGGGGGAAAGTTTGTTGTTTAGTGATCATAGATATCCTTACTGGGCATTACATATACCCAAACAGAAGTATGATATACTGAATTTTTCCATACTTCAGAGGTATACATGCATTTCTTTAAACAATGTCACAGAGTTAGCAAATATTTCAGTCTTAACTCAAATCCAAGTCTTCTGACTCTAGAGCAGGGGTGGGCAAACTTTTTGTGACTCGAGGGCCACAATGGGTTCTTAAACTGGACCGGAGGGCCGGAACAAAAGCATGGATGGAGTGTTTGTGTGAACTAATATAAATTCAAAGTAAACATCATTACATAAAAGGGTACGTTCTTTTATTTCAATAGTTTTATTCATTTCAAACGGGCAGGATCCGGCCTGCGGGCCATAGTTTGCCCACAGCTGCTCTAGAGTGTCCATTTTACAATGATGGTAAGCAACCTTAAACACTACTTTTCTATTAAAACAAACCATATGAATTACAGAGTTGAAGGCAAAAAAAATTAAGTAAAAGTAGTACACCAATGAAATTTTATCTTTTTCGCAGAAGACCCTGGACCTTCTCAGAGTACATCCTCTTCTGACATTAAGGAGAATTTAGGTGGGAAAACCTGAGAAACACTACAGTAAATCACACCCTTACACTAAGTGGGCCCAGATTATTTGGTTTGTTTTTGTCCTGGACATTTTCCTTTTCTCACTGGCAATTTTAATTTCTACTATATTTTCTTGTAACCCTAACTGTGAGCCTCTAAAAATAGCACCCTGGCCCTCTAAACTGCTGTGGGCTTATAAAACAGATCTCAAGCTTATTATAAACAAAAATAAATAGGGTCCAATGTACTGTCTTACAATGAAAGAACATTATGTTTGACAGGCTGACTTTGAATCTTTCTTTATTTTCAAGAATTAATATTCCTTACAGATTCTTAGAAACTACCAGCTAAGCAACATCAAATAAACAGTGTTGTTATATTGCCATCCTGTCAAAATTTCAGATTAACTGAAATTTTATGAATAAAAGG